ATGCAGGGTGCCCTGGGGCCCCTGTGCAGCAGTCACTGCTAGGGGACATGGTTGTTCTTTAGGTCCCCTGCTGTATCTGCTAGAGAAATGTGGTTGTGCTGGACGCCCCAGGCATCTGAGAAGGCCTCTCCAGCRCTTTTTTATGTCCTCAGATCAAGACTCTGCACTGAATTGCATCAGGAGCAGGGGTCTCAGGGTAGTTGGCACCTACAGGTCATTTCAGATGGCTAAGGCATTTCCCTACCTGGTTCCCAGTTCATGCTCTAAGATGATGCAGGTCTCCCAGGAGCTCCATCAGAGCAAGCAGGCACTGACACATGTCTTGGACCTCCTCAGTCCCTTCCATTGTCCCCAGATGTTTGAGTGGGAGCTCCTTACTCTCACCCTACATCTCCAGTGAYTGTAGTGGAGCTTTGACAAGGAGCTGGTGTGCAGATCTCTGTGCTCTCCTCCCTTTGGTTTTGGCAAGGGCAGTCCCACCACCAAGCTGTTTGTGAAGTTTACAGGAGGGATGGGACTCACTGCTAGGCAGGTACTGCACACATCGATATTTATGAATGAGTAAGTAAGCCTTGTGTCAATGAACTCCCCATTTCTCCACTCCTCGGTCTCCTCTCTAGTTAAGGGATGGGAAATGATGCTTCCAGAATGGGACATTTCCAACTTTCTTAGAGAGTCAGCCTTTGAGGCAATAAATTGCCAAGTTGGAATCCATGTCTCACCACTCATTGGGAAATGACAGCAGGTGATTATTTCAGTTTATTGAGGCGCACTTTTCCCAGGAGGAGGAAGCACAGGGGACAGGGCAATTCATAAACTCAGCTGGGCCTCTGCTCCTGAGCGGGGCCAGGCTCCTGGGACGGAGGCAGCTCATGGCAACCTGTGAGCCCTGCCCAGAGACACTGTGTGCAGGAGCAGCTGCTGTGCCAAGAGCAGCAGGGCTGCRGGCACTGCCTGCTGCTGCRCACAGCAGAGGAGAGAACACAGCGAGGGGTGAGTGGTGGTTTGGGGTGAGGGGAGCAGAGCAGAACTCACTGCATGGCAAGATCTTCACAGCTGTTCACATGGTAAGTTGCTGGCTGCAGGGCAACACTGCTGAGCTTCCTGGAAGGGACTTCTGCACTCAGACCATGTTCTTATGCACTAGGTTTTTAATGCTCTCTCTCCTGGATTATTCAGGGTCTAGCAGGCTCTTGCAAAGGGCAGGTTTGAGGGGTCCTTTCAGGAGGAAGAGGAAGAGAAGAACTGCTGGAAAGGGAAGGAGATTTCCTTCAGTCTCTCTGCTGAAGGAGGTACTTTCAATTTCCTACATTTGGAAGGAAGAATGAAGGAAAGTCTTTTCTGTTTTGAGAACAAATTCAGAGATTAATATTTATGTAAGAAACCTCATCAGGGCATTTCATCCCCACCTTAGCCTGCAGGCAGCATCAACAATACCTTCGTAGCCTGTAAGGAGTTTATGTGGCCTTCTCCTTAGGACYTGTGGTCACAGAGCTCTGTCTGGACAGTGCCCAGTCCCRGCAGGCTTCTGTAGGGGAGAGCTGAGCACAAAGAGAGTGACATGGAAGGAGAGCTGCAGGCAGCAGAGATGGGCAGGGAAAGAGAAGGAAGAGCAGGGGAGGAGCCACCTCCTCTGCAGCCAGACTTGCATCAATATCCTGGGGCATCTCTCCTGCTACAGGTCCAGTTCTTATTGCCCCACCAAGGGGCTGAGAGTCACTGCTCTGTAATATCACCCTCTCCAAGGTCACATGCCCAGCTGCATAAGATGAAGGCCTTCCAGAACACCTCTGTGTACCTCTCCTTGCCTGCCTTGCCAGCAGTGTCAGGGTCCTGCTCCTGGCTTCCCCTCCTGTCCAAGCTGCTCCTGTTCTTGCTCTCGTCTTGCTGGGATTGGGTGTTTTCAGCTGCAGTTCAGACACTGAGGCTGCAAGCCGTGGAACAGAGGGCTCTGATGAGAGTGAGGTTTCCTAAGCCCCCTTCTGTCCTGTGCAGCTCCATAAAGAGCAGTCCCCAGGGCTGCTTTAATGCCCATCTTCAGAGCTGAAGAGCCTTCAGTTGCTTCCCTGTGCTGTCCTGCCAGGCTGCCCCTCCAGAAAGGCTCTGCTCTCTCATGGACTATCTGTGGTATCCGAGAGAGCTGTGAGGAAGCTGCAGAGATACTGAGAGTGTGGAGGTGGTGGAGGGAGGCTGTTCATGAGCAACCAAAATGAGCCCTGCATGTCTCTGGCCACAAGCATGGAGATCTCCCTTAGGTGTTTGGAGACAGGGTAAGAAATGTGCAGATGGGCACTTTGAAACTGCTCTGCTTTCAGCAAGGCCTGGTCTCCTTTTAGGGCAGCATATGAAGATGACCATCCTCTAGCTCAAGGAGACTCAAAACACAGAACAGGCGGGAAAGAGATTAATAGACAAATGAGATGTCCCCRTTTGGCACATAGTGACGGTGGATGCTCTCCTCTCCAGACTCAGAATACAAATGCCAAAGAAGTTTAATTTGAGGAACACTCCCCAGGGGTGACAAGTATGTCTCATATCAAACAGAAATATTGAATAATTCCATAAATCTCTGTCCTCAATGTCCTTCTTTATAATTAGGAAGGAAGATGCTGAAAAGCCCATCTGCATCTTGAGTGGATTTCACCTGACAGAAATGGTGAATGTCTGAGCTCATCCCCTCCGTTCCCCAGTTCAGAGTCCTCTACAGCAGGACAGGTTGTCTAGAACCCAGGGGCTGACRTCCCTGCTCCTCTCAGCACACTCAGTCAGTGTAAAGCCCTAGCAAAGGAACTGCACTAAGACCCTCTTGGAAAGGAAAACATTAATTTGAGGGGGGGGGGACATGAAAAATGAATGATCTCAGAAAGCTTTTTTTTCTCTTGTTGCTGTTTTGTTTTCTTCTTTCTCCTTAAAAAGTCTCTCCTAATGTGTTGATGTCTTCTCTTCTTTGGACAGTCTCCAATGATATGAGGGAGCAAAATGTCCAACAGCAGCTCCCCGAAGTTCCTGCTCCTGGCATTCGCAGACAGGCGGGAGCTGCAGCTCTTGCACTTCTCCCTCTTCCTGGGCATCTACCTGGCTGCCCTCGTGGGCAACGGCCTCATCATCACAGCCATAGCCTGCGACCACCGCCTCCACACCCCCATGTACTTCTTCCTCCTCAACCTCTCTGTCCTCGACCTKGGCTCCATCTCCATCACTGTCCCCAAATCCATGGCCAGCTCCCTCTGGGACAMCAGGGCCATTTCCTTTTTGGGATGTGCTGCCCAGGTCTTCCTGTTGGTCTTCTTCTTAGGAGGAGAGTTTTCTCTCCTCACAGTGATGGCCTAYGACCGCCTTGTGGCCATCTGCAAACCCCTGCATTATGGGAGCCTCCTGGGCAGCAGAGCTTGTRTCCAAATGGCAGCAGCTGCCTGGGCCAGTGGCTTTCTCCTTGCTCTCCTGCACACTCGGAACACATTTTCCATTCCACTGTGCCAAGGCAATGAGGTGGATCAATTCTTCTGTGAGATCCCCCAGATCCTCAAGCTCTCCTGCTCAGATGCCTACCCCAAGGAAGCTGGGCTTCTTGTGATTACTGCCTATTTAATGTTTGGGTGTTTTATTTTCATTGTGGTGTCSTACRTGCAGATCTTCAGAGYTGTGCTGAGGATGCCCTCTGMGCAGGGYCRSCACAAAGCCTTTTCCATGTGCCTCCCGCACCTGGTYGTGGTCTCCCTCTTTATCAGCACTGCATTTTTTACATACCTGAAGCCGCCCTCCATCTCCTCCCCAGCTCTGGATATGGTGGTTGCTGTCCTGTATTCAATAGTGCCTCCAGCACTGAACCCTGTCATCTACAGCATGCGGAACAAGGAGATCAAGGTTGCCCTCAGAAAATTGATTTCATGAACAATTTTTAGTACTGCTAAAATTGTCATTTCCCTCCACATTACGCTCTCTATATCCCAGCTGGATTGAGCACTGGTTCTTCATGTTATTTTTATTGTGTGTTTTATTAGTAATAATAATGCTTGCCATGTTGCTACACGAGTACTTGGAATCATGGTACTCTTTCTGAGACTGCTCTCTCTCACCTGGTCCATTAATTTGTGTCAAATGGTGGATCAGGACTGGCTCCGCCACTGTCTTCTATGTAGTAATAAAGATTCTACCCAGGGCACTGCCTGGAGGCTGAGCTGCTGTCAGTAATATCCCCAAGAACCTGCACACTGGAAGGGCCTGCTGAGCAGCTTTCTCTATGGGCTCAGGATGAAAAAACTCATCATCTGCACAGAAACACAGAATCATTAAGGTTGGAAGGGACCTCTAGGGCTTTACCCCTAGCCCTTTACACCTAAACCTTAGCTGTAGTCCTGCAGTTCTACCCTTTACCCTAGTCCTTTAACTCTTTAGCTCTTTAGTCCACACCTTGTMACCCTGAACCCTTTAGCCTTAGCCCTAAGCCCCTTAGCCCTTCAGCACTAAGGCGTTTAGCCGWAAGCCCTAGCCCTTTAGCCATAAGCCCTTTAGTCTTAAGCCCTTTAGACCTAGACCGTCCTAGCACCAAACCCTATAGCCCTGTAGCCTTCGCCCTTTCTCCTRAGCCTTCTGTGCAAGCCTTAAGCCCCTTAGCACTTTAGTTCTAGTTCTTTATTTCTAGTCCTTTAGCCCTAAGGTGTACCCTTAGTCCTTTATCACTTGCCCYTTAATCATAGGCTATCATCCTCAGCCATTTAGCCATTTAACCCTTCAGTCMTGTCCTAGCCCTTTAGCCGTAAGCCCTAGCCCATTAGCCCTAGTCTTATAGCTCTTTACCACWAGTCTTTTACCCTAGGGCTTTAGCCCTAGAGCTATTGTCCTAAGCCATAACCCTTTAAACCTAAGCCCTTAAGTCCTGAGCCTTTTATCCCTGGACCTTTGGCCGTAGTGCTTTAGATTTCAGCCCTAGTCCTTTAGCACTTAATCCTATCTTTAATCCAAACCCTTTAATTGTGGCATTTTAACCACAGCACTTTAGCCTTAGCCATTTAGTCCTAGCCCTTTCATCCTAGCTCTTTAACCCTAACCCTTTCGCCCTACCATTTAGACCTAGATCTTTAGTCTTTTGACCATAGCCCTTTAGCCTTAGCCCTCTACCTMTAAGCACTAGCCATTTAGCCCTAAGCCCTAACACTTTAACCATAAGACCTTTAGCTGAAAACCACTTAGCCCTAGCCCTTAAACCCTATCCCTTACAACTCTAAGCCCTTTACCATTTAAACATATGCCCTTTAGTCCTAAGTTCTTTAATGCTAACCCTTTCATCCTAAGCCCTTTGGAACTAAGCCCTAAGACCATTACCACCAGCCCTTTAGCCCTAGTCCTTTAGAGATGACGCTAAGCCCTTTATCCCAAAGCCCTTTAGCCTAAAGACCTTTAGTCCTAAACTCAATCCTTTTCCCCTAAGCGCTAGMYCTTAAGTCCTAGGCTTTTAACCCTAAGCACTTTAGCCCTTTAGCCCAAATCCTTYGGTATGAAGCCCTAGAACTTCAGACCTTTAGCTGTAACTCTTTGGGCCTAAGCCATAGATCTGTCCCCAATAGCTGTACCTCACACCCTTTAGCCCTACCCATTTAGCTCAAAACTCTGGCCCTTTGGTCCTATTGCTTTAGCCTTAGGCCTTTGCCCATCGCCCTACAGYCCTAGGTGCTTTAGCCCTTTAGTCCTAAGCCCTAGAAAGGGGACAAGGGGGCAAAGACCTTTAGCAATAAGACTTAATCCCAGTGCTTCAGCACTTTAGCCCTAAGCCCTTTGGACGTAGCGCTAAGCCCTTTATCGCTAAGCCCTAGCACTTTAGTCCTTAGCCCGAGCACTTTAGTCCTAGACTTCTAGCCCTAGCTGTTCAGAGCCTTAACTCTAGTGGTTTGGGCCTAAGCCTTAGTTTTGTACCCTAAGCCCCTTACCCTTAACTCTTTCCCTTTAGCCCTACCC